TCTAGGTTTGCATCAAGTAGCGTTGTTTTGACGGAAGTGAACTCCGTGGAAGAGTCAAACAGCAGGAGACCGCGGAAAAACAACGTTGCTGGTACTGCAGGGAATCCTGTCTGCACTATCAGTATTTAGCCTACACCTCTCGTGTTCCAGTCAACAATCCGTAGGACCTACATCCAGTCCCCATGGGACTTTCTTGGCTGGCTGGGACCGACCCGATGTAAATCTTCGGCTAATTGACTATTCGCCATTGTGATCTCATTGCTAGACAGATAATATTGAATGGGTTAAGTATGGAACAATTGATGCGCCCGTTCTCACGCATGTGAATCTCACGGAGATGCTGACTGCAGATGCGACCCGAATATTGCTGAATGGGTGCTTGACTGGTTTTGGAACCACTCCAAAGGCTCATTAGTGCTTTTCGTGGGACGGAACGATGTCTTCTATATTTCTACAAGGGAAACATGAGCCCGCAAAAGGGCTCATGATGGGAGGCGTTGTTTCTCAAATGAGGCAACAATGGCTTGCTCACTTGTAGTTACATTCCACAAAAATGGGGTCGGAGTCTCGCAAATGAGGCTCCTGAACCGACGTTGAATTAACACATCTTTGTTTCTCGCATGATTCAAGCCTAGAAACAGTCTACCATTAGAGTTTCTGGAATACTCTGTTTCGTTCGGACGGTTGCAGTGGCACGAATCAAAGTGCATGTTCATTCAAAGTTTGTCCTAATTTGGCACCGAAACGGGGCATCTCATTGGTCAAGAGAAAGCTTCGTCCGTGGTGGGTTGTATCGTCCAAGGTCCATCCTCTTGCATGTTGCACCCTCGGTCGTTCTATTCTTCCGTTCATCGTTGAGAAGTCGAGCAATCAGACGACCGATGTTATTGAATGAGCATGCGATGATGTTGAATCTCGAGAAAAGCCTACGTAGCGGGTTTTCTTCCGCGACTGGCCGATTTGCGGTACCAAGGCCCCTTGCTGAAATTTGAACCCGGTTGAAGAAGGCCTTGGCAGCCAAAGCATTGTGCAGAGGAGTTAAATCAGTCGGATTCAAGTTATAACAAAACACTTACTAGCATAATATAGCGGTTCAAAACTTCATTGCCTATTTATAATCTATTATCCTATTCTATTTTCAGTTCGTCCAAGTTCAACCGAGCCTGTGGATCTCTGCCAAAGCACACGGCGGCCGGCTCCCGCTTTCGCAAGTGCCCCATCTTGTGCGAAGGGCCGCCAAGCTGGATGGAATCATAGGCGAGTGTGGTTTCGCGCTAATGTTCGTTGCGCCTAGCTTCAAGTTAAAAGCAGAGAGTGTGGAGCCCAGCCAAGGGATTGCGCCTCGTCGAACCAAGCCATCTCGACCTCCAAGCTGGCAGAACAGATAGATTCAATCGAGAATGCGTGGCGAGCAACACAAGCAGCCGTGCCAATTTCATCACCCAGGTGAGCACATCGAGCCCGAAACTGCCGGGCATCACGTTAGTTATCGCTTTGTTAATGTTTGGCAGGGTCCGATGCAGCAGCTGCGCCGGCTGCCATCTTTCCCGCTCTCGGACAGTAAGATGATGCTCCGCTGACATGCCAAATTTGGTGATTTCCTGGGTCAAGCGAAGGGCGAAGCGCGCGCGATGCTACAGCAATGGGTCTCGCTTCACTCTTAGCTGTCGCAAGCCTCGGCCACCCTTAGTGTGCTCCACAGCTCAAGATCTCGGCAGACTCGGCTGCTGTTAGCGGCGAGCTACCGTACATTTCTGAATGTTCTTTTTGCGGGATATCATGTCAATTGTACTTACATCATCGTCTTCCGTTCATTCCATCCTGAACTCATATTATTCCACTTGAAACTGATATTCCGTGAGATTCAACCGCTGCCCTTGACGCAACACATGAGGAACGCTTGCAGAGGATGGACCTCATCGCACTTGGCTTGTGGACTCGTCGCAGACACCAAGAACGTCTGCTGACTCGTTGGCTTGTATGAGACCAGAATTTCTGCCTTTGAAGGAGAAAATACCTGGAAAACGCCTCCATACTTGGAACCGTCGTCTCTCCCGCAATTTCTCGTGGCGTCAACGACCTGAACCTTGAGCAAAAGTCACGCACGAGTTCCACTTGGCACCAGTCACAGGGCTGACTAGCTGGCCGACATCTGTCAAGATGTTGACCCTGATCTTCGCATGGCCCCGTTGACTGCTGCTATTACTAGTCCATGCTCGCAGCACAACCACCAGGATCATGAGTTTTGACACCTTCGCCAACTCACTGATGGGTCTGAAGTAGATTATGCAAGACCTTTAGTACGAACTCGTTGTATAATAGAGTTATCTCGAAAATGCCAAAGCTTGAAACTATCATGGAGTCGGGTCGATATAAAGATCCATAACGGCCTCCAGGCCGATGCGGTAATGAAGATGAAGTCAGGCCTCACATTCTTTTATACACTCTTTTATACATTCCTTACATCATGTCTTTCACTTTTCGTTCGTTCCTGGCAGGCTCCCTGTTAGCAGTCTCGCCAATCGTAGCCGCGGAAGAACCCATCGTTAAGCGGGCCCGCTTCGATGCCGAAGCCGTCATCATCAAGGGGACGTGGTCATGCACCCCTGAACAAATCCTCACTATCGACCAGGCCGTCGTTGACGCCCACGAGTTCGCAAACGAAGCTCTCACTGCGCTTAAGAATCCCAATGTTCTGAGCTCACCTGCATATCACAACTGGTTCGGGTCCGGTATGCCCATCCCAATCTCTCTTCATCATTCATAACCACTGACTATACTCTCACAATCAGACGCCGGCGATGGCCCCTCAGTTGCGACCCTTCGAGACAGACACTACCAAGTTGTCATCGACTCTCTCAAGCCCCCCAGCGTGGAGACCGCCTTCCGCTTCAAGCCAGAGCCCTTCTTTCCTCCCAACACTGTCACCGAGAACAGTCTCGTCTTTGGCTGCTCCGGGGCCACGGGCCCCTGCGCAGATGGCGCCATGGTAGCGGGCGTGAACAGCGCGACGGAGAGCCAACCAGCCGTGTTTGGTACCACCATGCTGCTTCTCTGTGAAACTTTCTTCGATACTACGCGTGCGTCGAACAAGAAGATGATAGAGAATTGGAGGGCCGAGGGCTCTGTTGGGGACATGTCGCGCGGCTTCGCCCTGGTACACGAGGTCCAGCACATGCTTATCGCAACTGGAGACGGCGAAAGAGCTGATGATTTGAATAACCCGTTTTTTGGCATTGTCGATGACAGATCTGAGGATTGCTACTCCGCCAACTGGTGAGTTGAGTCAAACAAGACTTGAACAATTGAAGGCCCGACTAACACGAAGCAATAGCTGCTCCCGTTTGTCTGCGGCCGAGAAGGCCAAGAACGCGCAGAACTACGCCATCTTCGCCCTCGACGTGACGGCGTTCCCCATCACGAATGAGCAACCCAATGCTTGCCAAGCGCCTGCCCGTCCGTCTACGCTGGCTAAGGTGAGACGGCAGATAAGCTTCTTCAACTCGACCATGTCGTCCAGACCACCATCATCATCCGCTTCAGCCACGCGCACTCCCATTCCACCAGTGCTCCCTAGCTCGACTTCACAGGGTAAGTTCCATCTCCGTCGACTGAGTCTCGTGGATAGTTGCTGATCAACCTTCTGCAAAACAGCCCCCGCTTCAAGAGTCTCCTCCGCCAGACCCTCATCCAGCGCCGAAGTCGTCGAGGTCTCCGGCGCTGTTGCTGTTATCATCCCCGCCGGCGCAGTCGCATTCGGCGGTCCAGGTGGCGGCCTCGCCAACTTCGGCGGTGTAATCGTCCCCGTCCCTGAAGGCCAGACCGTCAGCGACCCGTCCAAGGACCCTAAACCCTCGGGCGATGCTCCATCGACCACACCCAGACAGCCGAGCACCACCAGCTCGGCGCCCGCCACAAGCTCCAGCTGCGCGCCCCCGGCACAGAAGTCGTACGGCCCCGCGGTCGAGAAGGTCTGCGAGGACTGGTCTGGCATGAACCAGACAGCCTTCCTCGGTCTCATGAACGCGGTCCCTGCGGTCGACTGGGAGGGCGCCCCCGTTGTGTCCACGACGTCCATCTTGGAGACTGTGGAGCCGTCTCCCACCTCGCTGGTCGAGGTCGTCACCACTGTTGCACCTGCGCCACCGACCACCACCTCCGCGGAGCCAACCGTCGCGCCCGTGGCGTGTTATAACTTTGACATCAACGCTTATGGATATTGCTGTCCCGGCCCTGGTAACCCATGCGAGAATGACCTCGGCAAGTGTTACTTCAACGGGGAGGGTGTCTCTGGCGGAGCTAGTGGGATCGTGCCCGATGGCGCGAGATGCCCTCCGCCCCCTGGCGCTGAGTACTGCAGAGGCCCCTGCGAAGAGTGAGAATAATGAGATCGGATTGGCGATGATGGCATATGTGGATCTAATTTGCTGTCAGCTGTATATGATGTGTAGCACATTCTTGAATACAGCATTCAAGGTATCCCAGTCTACTTAGTTTTGCTATGGTGATTTTGGTTTTTGTTGCCAATGTCGTCTCTTATCTGACAATTGAATAAAGTCAGTGATAGTCGAGAAACGAATTAGCAAAATCAATTCAAGTCATAATTTGATTTAAGAATGCCGAACCACGAAACGAAAAGCATGAAGTTGAAGCTGAGACGCTAGATGCTGCCACCCATGGGATAAGTGACAGCTGTTAGAGGACCCTGCAGCAAACAAACTAATTAGGCTTATTACGCTATACCTCCTGAGTGTATCAATTCATCGTCAGGTCTCCGAAGCAGCCGCACTTGTTCTCTCTCGTTCCGCGTTATCCTCGGCCGTGAGCCTGTCCTGCATCTCAACTAGCAGCTTGCGGCATTTCTGACGCTGGAATCTGCGTAGACTTGGCCAGCGACACTGGCGATAGATTTCTTGGGCTTCCTGTACGCTGACTTAGTTGAGCACTTGGATGAACTCCCTCGAAGTTTGTCCATAGAAGAATCTCACATCTACCCACTTCTAGTGAGCACGCATCCACTTCGGTTGCCACACCTGCCATTCGCTCCCGCTGGAATCACCTGGCACGGGGAACATCTCGAGCGAGATCATGTCTTCGCACAACCCATCGAAATACTCGTCGGCGGGTACGGGTCTGGCAGTGCGCCATTGCTCGTGTTCTGGGATCTCCTCCTCGGGTCTCGAGATATAGGCGTCGTGGGCAGTGAGCTCACCTTCGATGCCAAAGAGTTAGATGAGGAGGACTTCCAGCCCGATCGAAAGGCCTATTATTGACCCACCTGTATTAGTATCGAGTAACCACCACGTCCCTAGCCTGTCTCCTCCCAGCGGTTGGGAGAGTGGGACTATGCCTTGCGGGATTCTTTCCTCTGGCAACGGCCAGAGTCCGACAAGATTGGGGTCTCTGAGTTGATAATCCTCGTCGGGCCCACGAAAGCCATTCTGGAAATAGTTGATGGTCTGAGTGGACGGGAACACGGGCCTGCGACTGGTGACATACGGAAGATGCCGGGCCAGGTCAATCATCGTGTCGTTGAAACCGAGGCGTCGCAGCTTCTCGACGGGGATGATGTCGTCGCTCCAGCCTCCTTCAGCAGGGTATGCGATGTGTTCAGGTCTGATCGAGACCATCTTGGAAAGTAGCTCATAGTATCGCTTGATGCTTCCGACGATACTATGTCGATCGTATGCCGAATTGTGGTTTTTTCCCTGAGAAATGAAGGGTTCAGTTGACATATTCGCAACCCGGATCCGGTTTTGTTGTCGATGTTGACGCCTGGCAGGACTCAGGCTGATATGATTTATCAGGCTTCTGAAATGCTCCAGACCCCGCAGATGGCCTAGACTAGAGTGAGTGTTTAGACTTGGCGGCGGCTTATTATTGGCCAGGTGATCTCGGAAGCTGATGTATCTCCTTTTATATTCTGACCCCAGTCGTTCTAACTAGGTGATTGTGCCGAGCTCGGCCTAGCTGCAAATACAGGGATGCTAGGAAACAGGCTTCAGGCCTAGGATGGTGCCTGCATATGCGTGTTGCTTCCTTTCTTTTCAGTCTTTTTCTATATATGTTACAAGTATAACTGCAATCACTGGAGGGGTAACAAGCGACGAGGAAGACAAACAAATAGCAACAAGCGGAATAAATAGCAAAAGGAGAATAACATAGCAATACGAGCGGTTGACTAGCAACTTCAGCGGCGAAATCCAAAGCGTAGCTCAACGACTCGATATTCGCCTCTAGAGAGCTGCCGTTGAAAAGCTACTCAAGAGCGCAGTGGTCGGAGAAACTCGGGTCGTCGTCCTTATCGTCGGCGTAGGTCGGGCATCCGTCAATGCTGGTTTGATAGATCCCTCGAAGACTAGGTGCTCTTCGTCGTGCTCCGGACAGCCACCAAAGAGCCAAGCCGCCATGTTCCGTTGCCAGGATGAGACGGGTCCAGCCGTTGTTATCGCGAGCCTGACATACGAGCGCTCCTGGGTACTCGTCGCGTTCGCACTGCACGCTATAGGCTCGTTCCTGTGGCCAGCCGCTGCTCCAGGATGTGTGGTGCTGCCTGTTCCACACGTCGACGACCGGCTGCCCGGCTCCGAGCGCTTGGTTGGACGGTCAGGAGAAAGACTGCTGTTGTTGTCGCCTGGCAATGGCGAAGTTGCAGTTGTAGCAAGCCTTCTTGGAGTTCTCCCCATTGCGCTTGCAAGTTGCGCTCCCTGATCCGGTGGCCAGGCGGGACGTGCCTTTGGGTCGTATACGACTTGCAGTTACGAAATGCCCGGCCTCGAGGTTCTTGATCTTGCACGTCTTCAGCTTGTCCAAGACCTTGGCCGGTGACTTGATCACGGGCCAGACGGCCTTGCTTGTGAGCGGCTGATCCTTATCCTCACTCACGTCCGCGGAGAACAGCACCAAAGATGGACCACTCCCCTCCGAATATTTCCTCCTTGTCACTTTCGGCACGGTCCAAATCTTCTCCCCGCCAGTCGAATCTACAGATAAGACTAGTTGTAGACCAAAGAACCTAAGCTTTTCGTCCCTTTCGTTTGTCCCTCTTGAACGGTTTCAGCAGCATCCTTGTTGCCTAAAAAAACAAAGTTCTCATCTCCTATGACACCAATTGTGAAATACTTTGTGCTATTAAAGACCCGATGGAACCATCCTAGGCGAAATGCTAGATGCGCAAATCTGTCGTCGAATTCGGTGCTGGAGATGCCTTCGGGAGTAGCTGGAATGTATTCGGTGGCATTCGTAGGAAGCAAGAGTGCAATTGTTTTCTCGATGCTTCTGAAATCCCCGTGTGCAAGTCCTTTGGCGCCCATTGCGAGGGATATACTTTTCCCATGGCGCCGCTTCTTCTCCATCGTGGAAGCAAAGACTATGAATATGTAAACAAGAGCAACGAGAACCAGAATAGCCATCAGAGCATAGCTTGCAAACACGTTTTGGACAAGTCGTCGTCTGTCGTTAACAACTATGACTGCTTCAACAAGTGGGAGACCTTCGGAGGGAAACTGCGTCGTTCCCGGTTTATCCCCAATGAGGTGTCGGTTCTCGAGGTTTGCTAGTTGGGCACTTGAAAAGCTACGCCAATAGTTCAAGACCTTCGTAATATCGCTTTCCCTCTGAGGATCAACAAATGCTTTCAGAGGAAGCTTTCCATGTGGCTGGAGGAGAACCTCGAAGTCTCTGTCGAATTTGAATAATCTGTTTTGTTTCATCCTGTTGATGGTGATCCTGAGATCGGGAAATATGGAGCCACCTAGGGCATTGTTTTTCGAGGCATAATACAAAGGAGGAAGAGAAAATTGTGGAGTCCAAGGAGAGATGGAGGACTCATTCCGGCGAGGTGGCCTGCTGTGGTCAACAACAAGCTCCCCGTCGATCGAGATCATACTCGCATCCACCATGACTTTAGCCCATGTGTAATTGCATGTCCACATGGCCAATGAAGTGATACTGTGACTTGTGTGATTCATCCCACCCCACGCATACGTTCGCGATAATGAGTGTTGTGACAAGGCCACCTTTTTCCAGCTATTCGTGTCTTTCCATTGATAATACGTCGGATCGTAGTATTCTCCACACAGAATTTGTAAGTCTTGACTTCTATCCGTAGATACCGTATGCGCAAAGATTTCATGGCTCATGGCTGGGTCGCGGATGCCGAACTGTGCTAGAGTTGTGTTGTGTCTAGTCGAAGTTCCGTTCCGGCAGGTGAATGGAAAGCTCACGTTTGCGCGTCCCAAGATAACGTTTCCACTACTTGACGTGTAACTCATCTCTGTCATAATATCAAATGTGTTGTTAGGTATCTTTTCGCAAGAGGCGAGGAGTGTTGCCGATGGCATCGATACCTCGATTGTAACGTTGTGAGTATGTTCGATACTCCAAGTCGGAACGTCACTCACGACCGGGAAGAGCAGGTCGTCGAAAGTATTCTTTGGGTAAGAGAGATCTGCCTCCCCTTTTCGAAAGATAAGGCTCCCCACATTTTCCCGGTTGCTAGTGGACGGACCGTTTCTGGTGTCAGCGAACCAGCTTTGTTGTCGCAGTTGAATCCTAGCCTTTTGGGGAATGGATTCGACGGTAAACAGAATGGAGGCAAAGGTTGTCAAAAGTCCGCACAAAAGGGCCAAAGATTGCGAAAGTGAGACCATCCAGTTTCCACTTCGAAGACACTTCACCAAAACCCGTACACCCAACATATCTAGCAACGAATTGTCGAGCTGCTTCGCATTTTGCGACACTTGGTGAAGATCATTGAGAGTTGCAAGCCCCCTCAGGTTTTTATCGCACGCCGTCGTGTATAAAGACACCACAAGCACCATGAGTACTGGAATCGAAGTCCATAGCACACTCTAATACCCTTGAGTAGTTGCTATGCCATTGTGGGCTTGCGACATTTCAAGGGTAATGACCAATGTAACAATGAGACCAAAGATGAAGACTGCAAACACTGCTTGTACCCATGTTTTTAGAACGTGTGGAGTGTAGTTGTTTTGACCCCAAAGTAAGTTGGCTTCGTGGGAGAATGAATCAGATTGTTGGGAGAACAGTTTCGAATGATTTTTGAAGAAAATCAGGCTTCCCGTCACCGTTGCGGGATCTCTGTGCCATATCTTGAGACCTTTGTATCGAATGGTCACAGCCACCACGGAAATGATGGTGGCAACAAGGATACCAAGCATGGCCTGACCAACTTGCTGATTCACTTCCAGTTTGTCAATTCCAACTAGTTGACGACCACGGTGCTCACTTATAGCGTCTCTTCGCATATAATAGTGAGCAATGCGTGGGCCAAGATCATTTTTGAGACCCATCATTGAGTCGTACAGCAGGTTAGTCGTGTTGAGTGGCGGAACAGCTGGCCTTGGGCTCACGCCATTGAGATTCATCCATACTCCCGCAGGGCCCCAGAAGTCCAAGACGCCATCCTTGTGCTCTATCCAATTTTGGCTTCCATCTGCGCCAGGTATGGAGTTGGTCACCATGGACCAAATATCGCCCATCTCGAATGGTTCACGGGCGGCGTTGGCCAAAGGTTTGAGGCGTGGATTGGTTCCGTCGTCGACAATCTCCACCTGAGATAGCGTCGATTGGGGAGAGCAAATAACAGCCGCTGCGGAGTTGAGCCAAGGAACAGACCGATCTACAACGGAAGGTCCACGTCCACCAGCAAAGTAAAGAACCTGCCTTTGCTGTTGAGGCAGATTCGGACACGGACGTGCCTGATTAAGAGTATCGTTGACCGTCCAGTAGATGCTATCGTCTTCATTCGGGTCGTAGTTCTCCATGCTATACCTGGATGTACCCATCGGAATCGGGTGGCAGTTGTTGAAGTGAAGAGTAACGTTGAATTGAAAGAAGGTTTCGTTTTCGTTGAAGATCCGTTGTGCTTCGACACTGTAAGTATCCAGCTTGAGGCAGTGCATCTCCACAAGAATTCCTTTCACTGTCGTGGTGATTGGTGCTTTCGCTGTACCCCTGGGCTCGAACGTTTGGTAGATGGCATTTGGTGTTACGCCAAAAGGATAGGAGATGTTGTAAGAGTGCCTTGCTATAGACGCGTAATACGAACTGTGGTCCATCGCAGGCCCATATCTATCATTTGTATACGTAAACGTGTCGCCTGGATCGAATCTGAATTCGTCGAGGACCTTTAGGGGAATCTCCGTCGTTGTGTTTATGGCGGCAAAACGGTAAAGACCAGGAGCAAGTACAATTTGGACTTTGAGAAGTATTGATATGAGTGTCACAATCAATACCAGGTAGTGTCTTCGTCGATATGACTGATACAGAATGGTCGGCGACATCATGCCAGTGTAGTCGAGGCCGAAGTCCACCTCGTCAGACGATTGACCCCGGAGCAAGATAATCCAGGGCATGTAGATGCCAGCTTGCATCTCCACTCTTGCCCACAGCGCAGACACAATGGTAAGAACTAAATGCGAACATCAGTTAATCTCAGGCTGTCCACGATAATAAGAAACAACGCAAGAATTACAAACCTGCTGTAGGACCAAAGCGCCACCCATACCCAAATCGAGTTCGAGATATGTAAAGTCCGTTATGTCAATAGGAGTAGCCGATCATGACGCAAAGAGCCAGAGTTAGGACGGAGAATAGTAACACAAAT